TCTATTTTTAAAACATTGCCATTAAAATCACTATTTTTGTGTGTGTTTTACATGACCAGAATTATTCACTACTAGCCTTACTACTACAGAATTAGAAGAAGGTAAGAGATATTTGTAAATGTTTTTAAATCAATCTTTAGATATTATTATGATCGAGAGATATTGCACTATTGTCTCACGTATTCCTGTTTGCTATGCAATATTGACCAATACAGTGATATAAAAAGACTTTTGATTGTGATATGACTTAGAAATTATATATACATGTAGGTAACGAAATACAAATAGGGACGTAATAAAATGTACCGTACATGTAAGAGAAGGCAGTCAAATCTCTCTATGTGTTGGATAGGCGAACAAAAACCAAAAATTTAAAAGAAAGTATAGAATCTTGTCCCTTGAGCTGTGCATTTCTATGCTCCTCGCTGACTCTATTCTTGCTGAAAACTTACTCATCATCTATTTTAATACATTGCCATTAAAATCACTCTTTTTGTGTATGTTTTACATGACCAGAATTATTCACTACTGGCCGTACTACTACAGAAAAAGAAGAAGGTAAGAGATATTGTTTCAATAATTTTAAATCAATCTTTAGATATTATTATGATCGAGATATATTAACTTATTTTCTTACATATTCCTGTTTGCTATGCAATATTGACCAATACAGTGATATAAAAAAACTTTTGATTGTGATTTGACTTAGACATTATGTATAGGTGACGAAATACAAATAGGGACGTAATAAAATTTATTATTTATTATTATTATTATTAAAATGTATCGTACATGTAAGAGAAGGCAGTCAAATCTCTCTATGTGTGTTGGATAGGCGAACAAGAACTAACAATTTACAAGGAAGTATAGAATCTTGTTCCTTGAACTGCGCGTTTCTAGGCTCCTCGTTGACTCTATTGAGAACAATTTATACAACAGATAAAATTGATTCTGCCCTTAAAACACTCGTTTTTTCAAATGTTATACAGGTATAAGGGATTCAGCAACTTTTTCTCCTTGCTTTTCTTTTATCAATCTACAAGAACGGTTTCTTATTACTATTTGTATTATTATCATCTTTTAAAATTATTAGTAGTAGCAACAAATCACATAAAAGTAGGATATTGCGTTAGTCGATATATAAGCGGATTTCGTAATATTATTGACTTCTTAAAACAATAGACAGAACAAGAAATATTTATCATTTATATACATAGAGGACTAAACTTTGTATCAAACACCAATCCACTCTTCATATAACCATCTTAGATAGAAAGTGGAATATAGATGTAACGAGGATGCAAGCTTAAAATTGCGTTATCATTTAGTAATACGAATGGAGTGTAAACTGAAACTGGATGTACAATCTGAACATTATAAGTAATGTTTGCCCTTGAACCACCTAAATAACCCCATTGTAACAATCTATGCCAATATAAATTATGATATGTGATAAACAAATATCAGAAAGATCTATATCAATGGATTTGTATTGATCCAAGCAATGCAAATTGTTATCCTGTTAAAATGTATTTGTAAACGCAGGTCAGAGTCCAAAGTCCAATGTATGCTATGGCTGAAGTAAACCTTCATAGAAGGTGAAAAAAACATACATTTTGTACTCAATTTCATGAGAAGGTTCCTGTTTTGAGGGGGATGATTTAATTTGGGATTTTCCCTTAATACCTTATTTTGATGATTAATTTGATTAAATATCTGATTGATATACTACTGTAGCAAAACAAATCAGGTTTGCTTTAATCAAGTATGTAAACTTATTCTTTTGGTAAAAAAGAATGGGGGGGGGTGCGACACCCTACCTGTTAAGATATTATCGGTAAAATTGCGCTACCGTCGGGTAAAAAGAGAAAAGGGGGAGGGAAAAAAGAGAGGGAAAGGGAAGGAAAAGAAAAAAAGGAAAGGAAAAGAAAAGAAAGGAAGGAAAAGAAAGGAAAGAAAGGAAGAGAAAGGAAAGAAAAGAGAAGAAAGAAAGAGAAAAAGGAAAAAGAGGGAGAAGAGGAAAGAAAGGAAAAGAAAGAAAAGGAAAAAAAGAAGAAAACAGAGAAAAGGGAAACAAACAAAAAAACGGGGGATGAAAGAGAAGAGAGAGAGGGGAGGTAAGAGCCTGAGAGAGGAGGAGTGGGAGTAAAAGAGAGAGGAGGCTGTTGGGTGGAGTCGTCTCGTCGAGGGAGCAAGAAAGACACGGGTAAATATGTTGCTGTGTCGGGTCAGCTGTGTCGGTATTCTTGCTAGATCCTCGTGTACTATATCAGTGCAGAAGTTTGAAGTCGGTGAGATGTATATTGTCGGTCGGCCGACAAGTTTTTTTCCCTACGAACTGTGACTCTTTATCCCCTGTGACGATTTCGAGAGTGACTTTTACTTTCCTATAATATCAGCTAAAGAAAATCAGAGGTTTGAAATTTTCGGGGAAACTAAATTCAAACAAGGATAAAGAGCCAACATCGGTACAACGAATCGTCTTCTTTCTTTAATAATTTAAGGAAACGTCAAAGCTTCCGCAAATCGCGCGGGAGGAGGGAAACTGAATTCAGACAAATAGGGCTTAATAGAGTCGAAAACGGTACAAAGAATCGTCTGTTTTCTCTTTTAATTTAAGGAAACGTCAAAGCTTCCGCGCTTCGCGTTCATGGGGGGGGGGGGACCGGATTTAGTTAATTAGGGCTTATTAAGAGTAAAAAAACGGTACAACCAATCGTCTTCTTTCTTTAATAATCTAAGGAAACGTCAAAGCTTCCGCGCTTCACGCGAGAGGGGGAAACTTTTTGTAAGATTTCAGATAAATAGGGCTTAATGAGAGTCCAAACCGGTACAACGAATTGTCTGCTTTCTCTAATAGTTTAAGGAAACGTCAAAGCTTCCGCGCTTCACGCAAAAGAGGGAAACTGGATTAAGACAATGAGGGCTTATTAAGAGTCGAAAACGGTACAACGAATCGTCTTCTTTCTCTGATAAGTTAATAATAATAATAATAATAATAATAATAATAATAATAATAATGATAGCCTAATAAGTCCACTACAAATTTTATTAAACCTAAACGGAAATGATGAGGTCTATTACCCACACATCCCCCCGATGAGTGCGCTTCGCTTGCTCACTACAGCCCTTCCTAAAATAAGATCCTAGCTCCGCGCCTGCATTTAAACATATAGCTATGATGCTGACTAGTTGACGATATAATTCGTATATTTATGTCGTCGAGGAAAATGACAATTTGCCCATACGCAAGTTCTATGGATAGTCCATAGGAAATACAATTTAGCCTTCAGCCCCGTGTTTATAGGGTTAAATTTGTAGATATTGGGACTTTTAATATTTTCGGTAATTGGTGGGTAGTTTTGTCGGTAATCGTTGGCTTCTATACGCCCCCCCCCCCCCCCTACTGAAAAAGGTCTAGCGACGCCCCTGATCCCGAGCAATCTTCCCGTAAGCACGTGTGATACCAACGCCGAGTATTTGTAGAAAACTAATCATAGGTTTGATGATTTAATCTAGAAGCTTGTGTATTTAGATCTTGTATGAAACATTGCTCACCATCCAGATCCCACACCATGTACCTGTGTGCCAACTGGTCTGAGTCCTGGGGCTTTTGCAGGTATTTCTGTCTTAGCCATCCTGTTAGTGGCTTCTGTCATCATCAACATCATTCAATTCATCATGTTGAGGAGACATGAGACCAGACCAGGTGACTATATTCATCAATTCTAATAGAGTAGGTGATATATGTAAATGTTGCTTTCATGATTGTTTTACCTGATTGCTAAGCAAGTTCGTGTATGCTTGTAAATAATCAACCGCAAGACTGACGGCCGTAAGTTCTCTCTGATGGTCTTTGTTAGTGGCTTCTGTCATCATCAACATCATTCAATTCATAATGTTGAGGAGACATGAGACCAGACCAGGTGATTATATTCATCAACTCTACTAGAATATAGTTGAGATATGGAATCAGAACGAAGAAAAGCTATGTAAATGTTTGTTTCATGATTGTTTTAACTGACTGTTAGAAAGTATGTATAAAATATGACGGCTGTAAGTCCTCTCTGAGGGTCTTTGTAATGAGGATAAATGCCTTACCAAAGGGCATGAGCATATTGACTTGGTATTGCTTAAAGAGATTAAAGAAACATAATACTGGAAGTTGATAGCGAAAGTATTTTTTCTTGCACATCATAACATCTATCGCTTTCCTGAATGGATTTCCTCAGGATAGAGATCCATTTACTTTAGGCTAAATTTTACTTCCTTGTTGATAAATGTGGCATATACCTCTTATGTGCAAAGAAAATTATATAAAAATGTCTATAATTGCTTCTTCCTCTAATTTTTTTAAATTTTTTACAGGTTTTGAAGAGTCACATAAAACAGATTCTAGGTTAGTATTTAGCAGTTTGAAATATTCAAAAGAATATATATCGATCGATAAATATTCATACAAACACCCTTCCCCTCACACACATTCTCATGCACACCAATATTCGGATTTAGTGAAATACGAGAAACCTCAAAAGTTAAGCATGATATCATTATTCATGTGTTTACGTGTCAAATATGTTAAAAAGTAAAGTAAAACTTGAGTTTGTATTGGTATGAAACTCTCCACATTTAAGGGGATTGAAAGCAGAATGAAGACATATTTCGTAATGTAGAAAACAAAAATGTTTCCTAGGTACTATAACACAAACAAAACAAAACTGCAATAATACGAGTAATTGAAAATTAGTTCGATGAGATGGCTCTGAGATGGCGCTGTACAATAGGCTAGGGCAGTGCCATTGATTAGAAGAGTTTGGCCAACTTGGTTTCATTTGATCACAACATGGCGCATATTCTTTTGTTTTGTGCTTGCCCAACAAAGCAGTAGCCGCCATATTGTGACCAACTCGAAACGGTTTGGTCAAACTCTGTAAATAGATGGCTATGGGCTAGGGCAGAAAGGTCATTTGTTCAGTATCGCTTTTTTAACAGAGAAGGAAGACATGCATCCCATGAGGCAAACGACAACATGGCGTATGAGATGATTCAGAACGGAGATAAAGGTGAGAACATGTGTAAAATCAGTCAAGAATTTACAACGAGGAAAACGTTAGTACCACGTAGATTAATCACGAAGTAAAAAATCACCCACAAAATAAAAAGGGTAGATTAACGGATTTGTAAATTATCATAAAAACGTTGAAAAATTCCCACAACCACACAAATACTATCGTACTAAAAAAAAAAAAAAATGTCTCAAACTGCACAATAAATCGTTACTATCAGGGGTATTACTTGATTAATTTAAGTAGAAGTATATATTCTACAGTAAACATTAAACGATTAATCATTCTCCCTGATCAGATTTTTGCTAGGCCTACTAATTTAACAGGGGTTTTAAAACGTACCTCTAATAACAGCCGCTTTATTAAATCGCAAATTCACCTCGCCCTCCCACACACACACGCACACAATTATAAATACGTTTATGGTGAATACTCTTTCACTTTCGTGTTATATTTGAACGAAGTGTAGAAAAGATTATCAAATGGTAGCCTTATCCCTGTTTTAGAGTATGAAAGATTGCTTGTACTTGATCTTTCAATTATTGAAAGCTTTGTGATAATATTTTATTTATGTTTTTATAGCATACACATCTCTCAAACTTGGTCCATCCCACTCATCCATCATTGCTCCTGAAAACGTGACGTTTTTCACCAGACTCGGTTCAATCGGACGGGGGGACTTCGGCGGGGTATGGAAGGGAGAACTCCGCTCGAATCTAAGTCAAGTAGACGTCGCTATCAGGCATATTCCAGGTGAGGTTTTGCCAACCACTCCCTATCAAAAATAAGGAGTAAAAAAGACCGAAATGCAAATCGCTATAATGAATATCAATGTAGCCTAAAACAAGATGGAACTTTACGAGATGTCGAGTTATCTTTGATAAGCAAAGATAGCTCTCTAGAAAGTTATATTTTAGTAGGACCAAAACAAACGTACAAAGTAACACACACACACACACACACACACATATATATAAATATATAAGTATAATGTACTGTTTTCTATTGTCTACACTGTTTACCTCGGTCTTATTAACTACTGAATGATTGACTTCTGCAAATGACTTTAACCCACCACTCCCTTCGAAATTGGAAGGAAATGTGGTAGTTATTTATACAATTTATCTTTTCTCAGATCAAGTGACCAAATCAAAGAACGTTCTTCGAGCTGTCAAGGTCCTTTCTGAGATACCGGATCACCCGAATGTTGTCAAGTGCCTCGGATATTGTCAAGAACAAGGTAAAAACACCTCCTCCAGCAATTACACATTTTTTGTTGTTGGTCTTCTGGTCTTCTTATACAATACATATTAATGTAAACATGAGCATTTCCCCCCTAAATAATTGTAACGACGTTTGCAAAAGTCACTATAGCTCACCTAGAGGTACCTAACATTTTGAGCAATTTTCGCGATCAGTTTAAAAGTTAAACAACAGTCCATTAAAATTAATGATTAATGTAGTGGATTTTTCCTTCACTATAGCATGATGTCTAATAAAACATAATATTGAATATCAGTTTCATACGTTATTGCTTTCAATTGAACGAATTTCCCATAATGCAGGGAGCATTCTGTATGAGTTCATCTCTGGGGGTACGCTACTCACCCATCTACAGACTTCAGGGGTGCAATCCCAACCCACATACGGCAATCTCAAACCAAAGAGCGTTCGTTTCGATGAAGGTAGTCTACTAAACCTGGCTTTGCAAATTGCAAAAGGGATGCAGTATCTTGCATCAAAGAAGGTAACATTATTTCATGAACTGCTATAGAAGAGAAAGGACAAAGGCAAATGGGAAAGGAGGGGGAGAGGACAGAGAAGAAAGATAACGAGAAATTAAGACGGCCTGCATGAGAAGGAGATGAATAGATAAAGGCGGTCAACTTAACTTGGCTTGGCAAATAGTCAAAAGGATGCCGTTTCGATGCCGTTTGCATCAAAGAAGAAGAGGCGGGGGGGGGTGGTTGAGAGTGAGAACATGAGGCAGGGGATAAGTGTGAGAAGGATGAGAATTAAGAAAGTGGAAGAATAGGAGAGGAGGAAGCCAGTATTATGTGAGGATGGTTATGAAGATTAAAGGTGAATAATGTAAATTAGAATTTTGATCATTTATTTATTTCTATTTTAATTTTATCATTATGTTATAGATCCTCCATGGAACTCTTTGCGCTCACAATGTGTTACTAGCTGATAGAAAGCAATGCAAGCTATCAGATTATGGACTATCTTCATCATTGTTTAGTGGCAGAGGTGTGAGTATTATCGCCTTTATTTAATGATATATTATCAGCATAGATTAATTAATTGTTATACCCATAATGGTATATGTATACACCCTGATTATTACCAATTTTTATTGACCGTGGTGTTTGTATAACTTTTGGCATATGCAATATTGATTTTGATGTATTTTCAAATCTGTTTGCAAATTGTGAACAATCCAGCCATTGGCTGCTAATCACGATTTGTTTTAAACTTTCAATAAATGATTATAAATTTGAACTTTAAGTAAAGTTAAAGATAAACGTGAGTTCTGGTAAAAAAAGAAGAAAATGAATTCTCACAGAATAAAACGAAACTTACACTGAATGTTCAAGATTACAAATAAATTTCATGTGCCAAACAATTTTGGAAGAAAATGTATACTGGCTGAGTAAGAGCATAGAAAGATAAGGAAAACAAGGTGAGCCAGCCCCGACACCATTTGTGTAGTCTCATATACATCTTTCTGTGTACAGTGCTTGTTACTTTACCAAGACTGGGCCAAATTTATTATGATTTTGTTGACTCCAGAACCTTGTAGTGCACACAATACTTACATGCTACATGATCAACCTTTTCTGATCCATTCCACCCCTTTTCTTTCACAATGCAATCGAATTACCAGAACCCACCTTAACACGATTTTAAACCTTCTTTATATTTTCCAACATCTCAGAAACCAACAAGATGGAGTTCACCTGAAACCATGAATAATGGTGACCAATCAACAGAAGATGATAGCTGGTCTTTTGGTATCGTCTTGTGGGAGATTGTGACATTAGGTACAATTTTTTTTCAAAGTTAAAAGTGCATGCAATTTTGCGTACCATCTTAAAAAACCTGAATTTATTTAGTAAGAAAGTGTTATCAGCGTTTCTGCTGTTCTCCCTGAGGAGCCTGCCAAAGTTATCACCCTAGCAATATTATTGCCATGTGGAGTGGAGTGGGTAGAGAGTGGCAATGTGAATTAATGTCTTGCAAAGGACGTTAGTGCCAGTTTTGGATTTGAACCACCAATCCTTGGAGTGAGAGTCAAGAGAATCAACCAGTACTATACCACGACTCCTTCACGTTTATGATATGAGTTGAAGTAAGATATCGGCAATGCACTCATAGTCAAATAAATAATGTTTGTAACTTGTTTGATGCATATTAGGGATGAAGAATTTAAAAAAATGCTTATTCTACTCTTTAAGACCCAGCAATAACGATTTTTGTATTTATTGCATAGTTCATATTAAAATACTTGTTACAGATAGGAATAACATTTAGTCTTAAATGTCCACTAAGTCTGCCTGTACTATAACAATAATGTTGATAGAAACAATATATATATATATATATTTATATATATAAAGAAGACAGTACTCTCCAAACCGTTATGTCTTATATTCATATAAAGGATTAAATGTTTGACTTGTTTTATTACTTTGATTCTTAAAGGAGCGAGGCCATACCCTAAAATGACCTTTGCCAATGGATACCAGATGCCACGCCCTCGCCATTGTGGACAAGAAGTGTAAATAATACTCATCTAAGCAGTCTTTCCTTTGTCTAGTTACTATTGTTCCGTAAATGTCATAATTTTCTTGACTCACTCGATGCTATAATTAGTTGTTAGATTTAATGATAATGTTAAGTATCAAATGCGGATATACTTTCCGAGGTTCATGATTCAATTTGATTCTGCTCTCTTTCCTTTTAATCTAAAATGAATACGTCTCAACACTCCTAGTTAAATGAAACGAATTGGAATGGGTGTGCGCATGAAATGATGAAATAATACTCTTGAAAATGTTATTGCACATGAGCCTTGAATCTGTCTTTATTGTGTATTTCTTTTTATTAGATTCATTTCAGTTTTTCTATTAGATTTCTATTAATAGATGACGATCGTCTCTAACGTATCTTTCAGGTATGCGGTAATGACTGGTTGTTGGGAGAAGGAAGCTACAAATCGGAGTAACTTTGATCAGATCTTCAAGAGTTTGGAAAGGATTCTAGAAAAGACTCATGTAAGATATACTCAAATTACCCTCTTCTAACTTGTCTAATGCGAAATTTAGTTTCCTTATTACGTACCCGTTAGTATTATTCCGATTTTTAACCTCAGTTCAACAGGTATCATGAACAAAATTCTAGCCCTGAACCCAATAATTATCCTTGCAACTTCTTTTCCTTCTTTTCTTTTGATTTTCACAGAATTACCTGTCTCTCAATGACTTGGATGAAGGATTGTATGCGTCTACACTGGATATGTGAAATTAAGCCTTGTTCGGATATGCAGCGGTACTACAATGCATCTAAGTCGTGTACTCTGTACGATGGTCGCGTCCGAGCCTACTAACCTACAGTAGCATTATAGGAACTAACTTGCGTTAAATTCGGCCAAGAGTGCTGAATCAGGATATCGGAAATACATGTATTAAATATGCATTCAGTATATGTCTTTTTTATATTTTTTTTCAAGATCATTTGGTAGAAAAAAAGAAAAAAGAAAGAAGAAGTAATATTTAAAATATCTAGAGGTGCAGCTATTAAACGAAAAAAAATTATGATCTCATATATTCATCAGTACAATCTCAAGGTTTACCAATGTTAGTGTCATTACATAGCATTATTGTATGTAGATGACCATCTATTCCCTTTCTTCTCAATTTTTCATCACCCCTCCTCTCTGTATGCCTCTCTCGTCTCTCGCTCTCTCTCTTTCTCTCTCTCTCTCTCTCTCTATCTTTTCCTCTGTGTCTCCTTTTCTCCCCCTCTCCGACAATTCATTTCTCTCTCGCTCTCTCTCTCCCTATCGCTCTCTCTGTCTCTTTCTCTTTCGCTCTGCTTTACCCTTTTACCTTTCTCCCCCTCCCTCTGTGTCAATCTATCTTCTTCTGTGAACCGTCATATATTCGTGTAAATAATACTTCTCATTTAATACTAGACTCTGACGTGTTAAACCCCCATGAGTTATATACAATTGCATAAAGATTGTGTACTTGTATTTTTATGATTCTACTTCGTGCTTTTTTACCATGTAAATAGCTTTTGACAACAAAAATGAAATTGTATATCAAGAGGTCCGGTGTGAAGCAAATGATCTCATACATTCATCAGTACAATCTCATGATTTACCAATGTTAGTGTAATTTCATAGCATTATTGTATGTAAATGACCACCTATTCCATTTTTTTTGTCATCACCCCTTCCTCTCTTTCTGCCTCTCTCCTCTCTCGCGCCCTCTCTTCTTCTCTCTCTCTCTTCCTCTGTGTCTTCTTTTCTTCCCCCTCTCTCTGTCAATTCATATCTCTCTCGCTCTCTCTCTCTCTCCATATCGCTCTCTCTGTGTCTCTTTCTCTTTCGTTCTGTTTCCCCCTTCTACCTTTCTCACCCTCTCTCTCTGTCCATCTATCTCTCTCTCTCTCTCCCTCTGGCTCTGTCTGAACCGTCATCTATACATGTAAAACAACTTCTCATTTAATACTAGTCTCTCATGTGTATAACAAGCGTGCTTTATATACAATTGCATAAAGATTGTGTACTTGTATTTTTATGATTCCACTAAGTGCTTTTTTACCTTGTAAATACTTGTGTAAGAATATTGTACAATTCAGCCCCCGAGCTGCGATGCATAGCTTTTTAAAAACTAAACTATTAGTAAGGTCTCGTTTTTGTTAATGACTCTTTCTTGAGTTTCAGCGCACTCCAATCAGGATTCTTTGATGATAAATTTTCTAGTTGTAAAAAATTTGTAGTCAAAAACGTCGATGGCCATTCGTTAATAATTGAACTAAATAAATTAGTGTAGAATATGAGAAATCATTGATCGAATATCACATTTCCTAATATAATTTGTAAAATCTCCACGAACTTTGGTCACCCCATCATACATGTGTGCGTGTGCGAGCATGTACGTGTGTCTGTTGATTATAAATATGAAGGACACGGTATATAAGGTTATGTCAATATATTTTCGATGGTAAAATGCAACGGTATGGCTTTACGATGTTTTCAATGCAATACGTCGATTAATTGTCAACAAGTTTCATGTGAAGGAACCACTTTTTTTTTTAATTTGTACATCCCATTTAGAATGGATCCACAAGTTACATATGCAACGTGTTAAAGTATATAGCTCAGCAATGACTACATATAGAAATGAATTGCCAGTATAATTTATTGCTGGTCATAACGTTCAGGAGTGTACATAAAGTTATTTTACAACTCAACAGAACTAGAAAAGATCAACGAGATTCTGTATTGAAAAATGGGTTTTAAAAAGAAATCAGAGTAAAGCATAATATACAATGTAGCATAAAGGAAAGTATACAAACAAAGGAAAATACATGTATGACTTCAAAAGGAATGATTGAACTTCATTTGATAATTTGACCGATATGTGTAAGTTAAATTTGATGTTGTAGTTACCTTTTGTGTTATTTGTGTAAGATTTATGTTCTATTAATGTGTAAGATTTGAATGTGAAATAAGTCCTCTAATGAGGCAATTATATATTTTCCAATTTTTAAAAATGTTTTGATATAACCACTTTCATGTTTATCGCCAAACTTTATGTTTAAGCGTACTATAGCAGAGGCTAAAAGGAAATTGCTTTTTTTGGTTTAGAAACCTATTAAGATTTGATAAAGAAATGTTGATATAATTTTGAATGTATTTGATACTGCTTCTTTTTCATAATGTACTATTAATGTAAAGTACTACTATTAACTTTTAATTTACTTTTGACACTGATGATTGAAATCAAACAGACGATGATTTGTCAAAAAAAAAACACTATATTATATTCAAGACTAGGCCTATTAAAAAGAAAAGGAAAAAAATAATAATACTGCTGAGACCAAACGTAGATATGGCAAATATAGATTAAAATAAATGTGCAGATGATTCAGTTTTAGTCCAATCTGTCTCTTAAAAAAAATTAACCAAGGTTCAAACTTTGCAGTCTGTACTTGTGTTTTCTTGTTATTAAAGAACGTAAGCAATTTGCTTATGTTATGTTACTATTTTATTACGAAATAAAAGTTAATAAAGAATTAAGACAACGTTTTTGTAGCGTACACTTCCGTAACCGTAATTGCAATAGGGGCATATTGGAAATATGTGTGGGAGCCTATATGATTACAAGGAAAGTTTGACTTTTGGGTCAAAAGGTCCCTGTCTGAAAATTTCTATACCAATATATAACTTATCATTGCACGAGTGAATCGTCAACATATACCATATATGCTCAACCGTCTCCCCTCCCCATAACACTACAAACTTATAAAAACAGGACTTCTTAAATACGAGAGAGAAATAGAGAGAGAGAGAGAGAGAGAGAGAAAGAGAGAGATGAAGGATGGGAAGGTAGCGCACTTTAACTATATATAACAATCCATTAAGGATACTCTCTAAGCGGCTATATTATACCTCGTACATATATTGGTAAATCTACCAATTTAAATCAACCAATATCAATAGAAATAAACATTGGCGTAGGGAGAGGGGAGCGGTTATTAAAGGGATAAACCACAACTGGGGCAAATCGACAAATCATTCATTTAAAAAGTATTCAATTTTGAACCTCTCTTCCAAAACATTTAAAAAACTCTTTTTTGTTTTGTTAAGGTTTTAACACTTCAAATTGAATTCAAACAATATCTTAACAACGTTTTCCTGAATGAATCTCTAATGAATGTATACAGCTTCAGTAAATGTTATAGTTTGTGAACGTTTCTCTTTCTTTCTCTTTACTTGTAGGCAGAGTTGTTAACAGTGTTAAGAAAAACTGCGTCTATTGATAATCGATGGAGCGTAGTGATCGAGCGAGATTGTATGCATGTTTGTATGTGGTAGCACTAAAAACCTATGATACATAGGTGTAATGAAAAATAATTACATGTAACTGTTTTTTCATGCGATTCCCCCCCCCCCCGAAAAAAAAATAATATATATATATATATATATATCTTGAATTATGGGGGGGGGGGGGGGGGCGGGTACTCCGAATATGCCCCCTCTGTCACTCACCCCTTTTCACAGTTTTATTATAAATCGTTAAAATTATGGCAGGTCTTGAGTCTTATCCCCCCAAACAAACAAAATATTTGCGTTTTAGAAATATGGCACTTGAATGAATATGATAATTTCATGATTTCATGGTTTGCTAAAACAAGTCCTGATAATTAAAATTTGCATTAATATGATTCTTTATAATGTTGTTATATCATTTATTATGAGGTATGGCCTATGGTCTCCAACATTATATGTTGACGAAACAACAACGGAGTAGAACTTGTTTGCAATACGCCCTCACTGAGCATGCGGGAATCAATTTTTGTAATCGTTCATATCAAATGCGACCGTGGATTTACTTGATTATTACCAAAAATAAGCTTTTCGGTTGCATTATTACCACGTGTATGGAATCTTGAAGGTAGCTGTAATGGTGAGTGTGATCGCTATTCTCATGACTTTGTATACATGATTTCACTACTACACGTATGTTACTGAAATTTGACTGAAGAGGGAAAATATATGACTATTATAATTAATTGCAGTTTAAATATACATTTTATAGAGCTTTTCTTTTGGTAACTTCCGCATGCAGTTGGTCATTCTGATTGCACTCCAATCTAGAATTCGACTTATACATGTACCAGCTAGACTTTTACTAATTTAAAAGAACGCACTATGCATTCACTTGTCGAGCGATATAAAGCAGGAATTTTCAAAGAAAAGGGACAACACAATGATGTGCCTTTGTGTATGGTAAACGGACTAGTCACGTAAGGGTGACTAGACGCTCGACCCCGCCCCCCCCCCCCCACTCAGGGGTCGGAATGACCGCATGCGTGTTGCCAAAATGTCCGGTAAAGGGGTACTTTTCGTGCGACAAAGTCCGGCCCGAGAATTGTAAAATAAGGGGTGTATTTGACTTTTCACCCGGAGATTTCTTTAAAAAGGGGGTGTTTTTTCTTTTTGTCTCTCATCTCTTTGGACTCCTTAGAAATTATTCCGAATTTAGGGGGTACATTGAGCATTTTTCCTGATTTAGGGGGGTCTCCAAGGCAGGAAAAGCCCGCGAAAAGCCCGCGAAAGGGGGGTTCGGAAATGTTGGCAGTCCTCAGATAGCACCCGATACCAATACAGTTACAGTAAAGTATCGAAGCAGATTACCCAAAGTTGCTCAGTAATATCAGAGCAGAATATGTAATCTGAAACCCAGGTGACAAAGTTGCTCTGGTAATGAACTGGAACTACTGTCACCTAGGTTAGATTTATAGAACAGTAGTGAACTGTAGGATTGAGTAATTTGTGCGCCCTGATAGTACACTGGTCTGATGAGTTTTCTTTACTCCAGACTTTACCTATTTTTAATCGCATGGGCAATGAAAATATAAATGATATAAAATAAGACGCGTGCATGCTCCTCTGTGTAAGTTGTTCATGTTGTTTAATGTTCACTTATTGATTTAGATTTTGTTGGCACTGACATAACTTTTTTTAATTCACTTTTTTAAAATATTTTTAGGGGGGTAGGGGCAATGCTTCATGCATGCATAAACAACGAATTAAGCAAGATCATAGCTTTAAAAGAACCTAGCGGTAAAGAGTACCAATTAATCACCAAAACAAAGGTTGTAGTGAAGTTAGGAGTTTCATTTGTTCATAGGCCGATTGTATAACATTTTAAAAGAGCTATACATTGATATTACCCCTATTTATAGACCCTCGATTAACATAAAATCGTCTTGTGAGTAGACTATTACCTCTTACTTAAATGTTATCCAGATTACGGTAGCCACAGTAACGCACTGTTCCTCTTTATCACCTGAGTATTATAGTGTCTCTCCTTCTTTCCTCGTCCCCTTCTATTCTCTCGATCCCTCATCCCCATTCTCCTTTGATTTTCCCCTGCCCCCCCCCCACCCCCCATGCACCCCTTCAGCCATTTCCCTCTCTTCGCCGTAAACCCAATCATATTTCCCCCATCCTCTCTAAACTCGTTCTTCCGCCAGTTTGCTTGCTCATCCCTCCCCTTCTCCCCTTGCCTTACCGCTTCCCTTCTCTAGCTCTCTGTTTACCACTCTCTCCTTCTTTCTTCTCTCCCCTTTCATTCTCTCCTTCCTCATTCTCCTCCAACTTTCGTCTATACCTTTAATTCGCTCTTATCCGTTAATCCCAGTTTATCCAATCCTTTCCCCTAGTTCCTTCACTCCCTTTTACCAAACCTTCATCAACTCATTCTCCAGTCGGCCTGCTTATTCCGCCACCCGCCCCCCCCCCTCCTCAATCTTCCTTCCCTCCACCCCGCACGCGCTCTTTCTCCCTCTCTCTTTCCCTTCACTATCCTGCGCTAGCTCTTCTTATTTCCCCTCATTTCCTAAACGCTCCACGGAGTATACGCCCTTATTCCCTTACCCGGCCGGCCGCCCTCTTAAATCCAAAAGAATGCCCCCTTTCGCCTTCTCCCCACCTCCGCTCCCTTTTCTCCGCGTCTTATTAATGTTGGTCCCTCTCTCGATCCACCAGTCTCCCTGCTTCCCCTCTCAAGGCGCGGATCCAGGATTTCTTAGGGGTGGGGGCCCAATTTTTTTTCTTTTTGCTCCCGGAAATTTGAAAATCGCGCCAGCCGAAAATGCGCTCAGTGGGGGGTGGGGGGGGGGGGGGTGGCGAGAAGTAGTGAGCACATTTTTTTTGGGGAAAGCCCTCTAACATTTGCATCCCCCCCTCCCCCTTGAGCGCCAGGGGGGGGGGGGGAGGGAATCTCCCCAAAAAGGTAAAACTAACGTGTTTTTACACGTTTTATTTTTGAAGGGGGACGGCCCCCCCCCGATCCGCCACTGCCCCTCTCTTACATCGCTCTCTCAGCTCCACCGTTCCTCTCTGTTTCCTCTACTTTTTGTTCCCCCTTTAACCTCCCCTTAGTGGGGTAGTGAGCACATTTTTTGGGGGGAGGGCCCTCTAAATTTTGCCCCCCCCCCTTGAGCGGCAGGGGGGAGGGGCGTGGGGGGGGGGGTGGGGTAAAATTAACGTGTTTTTACATTTTTATTTTCGAAGGGGCCCCCCCCCCCACCCAGATCCGCCACTGCCCCTCTCTTACCTCGCTCTCTCAGCTCCACCGTTCCTCTCGCTTTCCTCTACTTTTTGTTCCCCCTTTAACCTCCCCTTAGTGGGGTAGTGAGCACATTTTTTTTTTTTTTTTTGGGGGGGGCCCTCTAAATTTTACCCCCCCCCCCCTTGAGCGCCAAGGGGGGGGGGGGTGGGGGGGGGGGGGGGTGCAGCATCTTCCCAAAAAGGTAAAATTAACGTGTATTTTACATTTTTATTTTCGAAGGCCCCCCCCCCCACCCAGATCAGCCACTGCCCCTCTCTTACCTCACTCTCTCAGCTCCACCGTTCCTTTCTTTTTCCTCTACTTTCCCCCTTTATCCTCCCCTTAGTGGGTAGTGACCACATTTTTTTTTTTTTGGGGGGGCCCTCTTAATTCCCCCCCCCCCTTGGTGCTCAAGGGGGGGGGGGTCGGGGCATCTCCCCCAAAAGGTTAAATCGACGTGTTTTTACACGTTTTATTTTTGAAGGGACGGCCCCCCCCCCTCCCCGGATCCGCCACTGCCCCTCTCTCACCTCGCTCTCTCAGCTCCACCATTCCTCTCTGTTTCCTCTACTTTCTGTTCCCCTTTAACCCCCCCCCCCCATTAATTCCTCTTTCTCCCCCTGCTTTCACGGAGTCTCCTCATTGTATATTATATCAACTCCCATTTCTTGGCCTTCCTCCTCTTTCAGCCTAACATCATATATCGGGCATATATCATTATTATTGTCCCACTCATTTCTAGCCCTTCCTCCATTTTCTTCCCCATTTCATCCTCTTTTTCCTCACTCAATCCATCTCCTCCCTTCTTCCCTATTCTACTCTATATACCTCTCTCTTCTACCTCCTGCTCCCGCCCTCCTTTACCCCTCCAATTCTGTTTTCCACACTCAGTCTCCTTCTCACCTCGTCCCCTTCTATTCTCTCGATCCTCCTTCCCCACCCTCTCTAAACTCATTCTATCGCCTCATTCGCCGTCTTGCTCATCGTGTTGATATAGGTGATATATTACTATATTATCCTTGTCTCCTTATGTAGAAAACAAAACCTGTTACAATACAAAATATGGGGCACCTATCCCTCTTCACCAACCTCTACCCGAATCAAAGAATATGTACAACTCATGGTTGGGAGGAACAAAAATTTAAATTTCCTCATAAAAGGAATCAATGTTACTGATCATGCTGAGCTTATAATGCAGTCGCTTGTCTTCACACATTCTTTATATATGAAACATCCCCGGCAACTGAGTGGCCGGTGGCCGCCTATCACACTGCCCAAATCGCGTTCCAGAGAAGAACAAAGTCCACACAAAGAAATAAAATTCTCGACAAGAGTCAAGTGTTGAAGTGGATAGTAACTTTATTACAATTTATTACATATAATCATGAAAAGTCACATCTATGGGCTGGAAGCCCCCGACTCTGCTAAAACTTTAGCACCTCATGGCGGCAAAGGAAATGAGGTATGAAACAAAATGAGGAAGTCATCCGAAAAGTAAAAGCTCGTGCCAATTCAGGAACTGCTTCCCATTTTATACCTTCTGACACGTGTGTTGCCCCTTAATAGGGCGTGTCACTACGAGGCATTGCGTCAAATTAATCCCTGGAACCATATACACCCATATTAAAAGGAAATTTATTAATTTTGCGAACTTAACCTCCAGAGTTGAGCTCACCGGACCCACCATTACTCCTCTACAATCCATTGATTGAGTTTATGTGTATTGCATGTAGTCCACAGTCAGGAGGGTCACAAACCCCTCTACATGTACATCCACTGTCACATCTTGATTCTTGAGATGAACTCGGTAGAAGTATCCACATTGTTTTGGAGTTGCATGCTCCTTCTGGTGACTGCTCCCCTTCAGCTACTAGTACAGAAAAGTCCAATGGCATCCTTGTACGCAATTCTGACAAGCCGGCTGTTCATGAATAAAATATAAACTATTTTCAAATAGTATACAACTTTAGGAAGTCAAGCTGACATCATCAGTGTATTTCTTCTTCTTTTTCTTCTTGTTCTACTTCTTCTAGTAAGTAATCTTCAAAGAGTTATTCGTTTTATAAAAGCATATTGTTCGCTCGACAGGAGTACATTCCTTATTTTCCATGCTTATCAGCCCAACGACAGATCCCAGATAATTATAATAATACATGGTCTTCATGGTCTGAAATGAAATTACTGTATTATCAAACATGCCTTTCATTACTAATATACTACGTTTGCGTAAAAGATCTAATTAAACATTCAGACCATTGTTTTTAAAATGGCATTCACAGAGAAATCATAGAATTGAATTCCAAAAATACTTGACACCGGCAACTTTACAGTGTAAAAATCTCATTCTGATCTGAGTTGTTACAACCAAAGGTGTCCAATCATTTTTATTTTTTTTACTGTTAGTATGCAAACATATTTTTCTTTATCACACTTCTCGGGCAACTACCTCCAGGACATCCAAGATACAGCCATATGACATAATTAGATCTTGTACTGCTAGGCTGACCGCCCTACCACCCCCATTTTTGTTTAAAATCACCAATCCAAACGTTGAACTTGGGTTACTGTTGTTAAGAAAATATATTGTGAAAGTGGGATGGGTTGCATGTGGTAAGGATATGTTGCATGTTAACAATTGCAACAGAAAGTTCTCGCTCTTCTATGGGGCGACTTACTTCATACACTGTCATCTGGCCTCCGAGCTTTAGACAGCAAGGTCCTTGTCTACCATATCATTGTGAGCTTCTCATTCTACCCTTCATTTGCATGAAATACATTACATGTACAGGCACCTGTTTGTATAGAGACATAAAATAAATTCACTTTTACGGCATGTTCATGAAAGCAATGTGAAGTACTAATTATAAAGTGAACAGCAGGGTAGGGTTCTTGCAGAATTTCTAGAACTCGCAGTAAGGGTGTAATAAATATAAACTTTGAACAATACTGGTATGTAGAAAGGGATTTAGGGTAGCCCGAAATTGGGTCTGGCAATGTTTAATACATTTAGGGTTGACATTATGTTTAGCAATGGATCCAGGATTAAAGTTAAGAATTCATTTTGTGTTACAACATAACCAGTACATAAATGCCAATAGAGCACGTTGTAAAAATCGCTGAATTCTTTTAATTGGTAATACAGTGCTACATGTTTCACAAACTGCAGGCCAGTGTGTTTTTACTTTATAAAATCTATTTTAAATGATACTGTGTTACATACTTTTTTCTCTTCCACTCTACATCATGTTTCTGCTTTCACAATACAGAGGAAGATTTTAAAACTACCATTGATGAGTAAAAGATACATGCAGCTCCACCAGCACCTGGAAAATCCAGTTGTACAACACCTTCTCCTGAGACAATTGCTTCACATAATTTTTCTACACTATTAAACTTCATCCCTAGGCCTAACCCTAAACCACCTTAATCACAATTCCAACCCTCAGTCTAACCCTACACCTTTGACAAAATAAAGCCTAGAGTAGTCGTTGCAGGAGCAAATGTTGAGTTACTAAAAATGCCATGACAGACTCATATGCTATGAATTTATCTCTGTTTCTTTCCCTGATTTGTTAAAAAAACATTGTAATATGCATTATGAATTACCAGTCCATTGTGCTTCGCTCATATATTGCCAGGCACAAGAGGCCATCGCTTAGAGGTAAGGGGCAGAACATCAAGACTGGAAGTGGAACCTCAAGGCACCCCATGATCTCTCAACAGCAAGCCCTTCCTCTCCATCTCTGGAACAGAATTATAAAAATATTCAATAAATATTAACCAAATATGTAAGAATACACAAAAATTGCATTATTTTTTTTTCTTCAATTGTCTTCAATGTTTACTTTCTTTTTCAGCAAAATATGAAGGTCAATTATTTTCTTTTTGCTTGTCATTCTGTTTCGTGTATAGTAGGATAGGACTCCCCCCCCCCCCCTCCCCCCATCCCTTCGTCAAGGCCTTCAAATGTTAATTATAAAAAAATATATATTGGAAGTTAAAATACACTATAAATAAACACTACACCAACTTGTTAGTAGACATCTTGTTGCACACATACCATGTAGCCACCCCTGAATCGATACTTCTCATACCAGCCCTTTGCATACCCCTCCAACTTGGCCTTATTTAATGCCCTCACCCATTTAAAAATTTCCTTTTACTTGACTAACTAAACAGGTCAAGTTTTAAAAAGTCCAAGTTAAAACAAAAAATTAAAAAAAATTACCTTTTCTTGTTGTGGTCCGTTTTCTCTAGGACATTCTTGTTTCAGGCACATACTCAAAGAAGCAAGCATATGGTAATATACACTCTGTATATTTCCTGTAAAAGAGAGGGGGAAAATTTATTCTTAAAATAGCTAGGTTCACATTCAGACTCAGTGACTGAAAACAACAGTCACTGCTACAATGTTTGCAGTCTAAAGACTGAGAGTAGAGACAGAGTCTTGACGTAAACTAAGAGACATAGAGTCAAGACTGCGCCAAAAAAAGATCAATACTCTAGAGTAAATTTAGAAACCACTAGCATGACTAGGCACTAGACTACACTACACTGCAGAGTGCAGTATACTTCTTCTCCTTCTTGAAGATAATCTGCCTCCTATCCTTCAATACCGGTACTGAAGATTCTTGCAGATGCCGTATATTCATGTATATATATATATATTCGGCCTGAGTGGGGTGTGCAGGTAGACCACTACACCAGGTTTTTCCCCTATTCTTATACGAATAGTGCCGTGGGTTCTTAACGTGCAAGGGTAGTGACTATCCTGTACACGGGGTCTCCTTTTAACATCCTATCCGAGACGGATTGTTTTCCATGTAACATAGCCTGCGTCTATGAAACAACAAGGGGAGGGGCACGTTAACACACAACGCTTGCTTCAGTCATCCGCCTGGGTGCGATTCGAACCCAAGATCTTTGGGCCGACAGGCAGACGCTTTACCGACTGAGCCAATTTGCCTCCTAGTCCTCCTACTGTCTACCGACTAGACTCTAGATTATTTACATTTCTATTTTAATTCTAACTTAACTAAAGTCTAGTGAAATCTTTACTCCAGGGAGCTCCGTCACCGAAGCCCTTCGGAGGCCGTAGGCGGAGCTCTCTGAAGCATGTACATGTATAGCATGGAGTTAGTGAAATCTAAACACTGTTTGGGGGTTTGCAGTTTATTGCAGGAGTTGTTGTTTTGGCTGCTTACAGCTTAGCCTGCCCTTGAAATAAAAATGGAATTTTCAATTCTAAATTTATTAAATCCGACAGCCAAGTCCGGATAACAGCAACGGATGACAGTAGATCTACTACTACAGTATACCACTCCAGCAAAGTATAGACTGATATAGACCGAAAGCTTCAGTCTCTGATATCGACGGTTGTTCTGCTGAAATTGCATCTGGCTCATCTGACCGCCTCTATACATAGACTGAAGGACGTCCTATGGTGACTGAGTGGAACAAATGGTTTGGTTCGGCAGGACCGGGATGAATGAGATATGCAACAAGATTTTTACTCTTTACATCCTCATATATTCACTTTGGCTGTAAAATTACATTTGATTATATTAACAAAAATAAAAAAATAACACAGAAATATCTACTTTGACTTACGATAGCTTGCTCATTTAGATCCTACATTACCAAGTCAACGCAAAGCGTAGCATCCCCTCGCAGGGTTCAAATGGCCTATATACATGTACATCAGAACAAGTTAACTCCATTGGACTATACTATTATATTATTAGGCAAGGAAGTTAACCACATTTTCACATATATAATTAGGTGCTTTTGCATATTTAATGAGATATGACCTTTCACCTTTCACCTACATACTCGGAAATTGAACTTAGCCTGTATTTTGATATCATGTACCTTCATATCAAATTTCATTAAAATCCGTCAAACATTACCGAAGTTATTGATCGGAATCCAAAATTGTTACGGACGCACGCACGGACGCACGGAAGGACGGACGGCAGTGTTTCTATATCCCCTCCGACTTCGTTGCTAGGGGATAATGATTAATCCGAGAAAGTCTCGAAGTCAACATGATTCGTTGTCAGCCACCTGGTTTTTAGATGATGAATATTCATTTTTTCTTTTTGAACGTCCAATAGCTACGTATGAGTCAGCCCGTCTTGACCCAGTGACATATGAATATTCATAAACCCAATATTAAACGAGTGCTCTGATTGGCCATTGGCTATGTTTTGGTAGGTTGACCCAGAAATATATCGGCCGGGTCATGTCATAGATTACCAGAATGAATGCATGAAGGTACCGTTTCACGGTTCTGAAATCAAAATTGGATAACTCATACACGTACTGTACATGTAAGTCCGTAAATTTCACATTTGAAAATAAGTCATAACAAATTTGATAACTGTGCATAGGAGAAAAATATACATAGGGTCTAGCTTTTTTTTCTATTTGCTTTATAAATCAGAAAATTAGATCTAAATATAGAAAATCGGGGGAGCAGATTTCATAGTAAAAAGAGGTACAGAATAGGCTCAATCTATCCCCCCCCCCCCCCCCCCCCCCCCCTGTGTGAGCCGTCTGGGTTACGATCTGTGTATGGGGAATGTCGACAAATGTCAGTTTTATTAAAGAAATGACCCATATCAGACGGTTATTTCTAAGACTGATAGAGAACCCCCCCCCCCCCCCTCAGTGTTATTTAGGGTACACATATGCTTGTTCCCTCTTTTTGAAAGCACCCCCTATCTGAGGACTGCAAACATTTCTGGACGCCCCTTATGCGGGCTTTTCCTGCCTTTGAGACCCCCCTAAATCCGGAACACTGCTCAATGAACCCCCTATCTCAGAAAAAGCAGACCAACCCCCCCCCCCCCCCTTTACTCAGATAAGCTGTCATTACTGGTTGGCTCACACACCCAGGGAATACCCCAAAGAAGTTAGCCTGCATTACGTACATACAGTCAAATACACCCCTTTTTTTTAGAATTCTCGGGCTGGACTTTGTCGCACAAAAAGTACCCCGTTACCGGACATTTTGGTAACACGCATGGTATCCCTCCGTTTTCGGAATGGGGGGGGGGGGGGCAGGATAGAGAGTCAATGCTAATGCGTATTGACCTTAGCTATTTAGCACTGCACTACGTGTTAATACTTTAATAGGCAGAATTGCACCCACAAATAGTCCATACACACCTAACAAACGAATGCACGCAATAAAGACGATGCGAAGTGGCTGATTGGCAATTTTGACAGTAAGCCCACGCTTAAATTTTTTTAATTATTCTTTCTAACTTCTGTAAATTGTATTTTACTGCTATTTTAGACTAGTAGCCTAGATCTAGTAGTAGACCTCTAGGTGTCATCAATTGTCACTAGATCTAAGTAAAGTACAAATTTTGAGTGAAATCAGCTGAGTTTTGTACAGTGCTGTGTGAAATGTTAAGAATCAACAGCACAACTTTAATACACAGCCAGGACGCAGGAGGCGAGTTTGCTCAGTTAGTAAAGCGTCTGCCTGTCGAAGCAAACATGGAGATATAGATCACGTCTACTGACTAGTCTAGATCTAAGAAGAGAGATCCCGGGTTCGACCCGAACCCAGGCGGATGACTGAAGTGTGTTAACGTTCCCCTTCCCTTGTTCATAGGCGCAGGTTATGTCAAGTGGAAAACAGGATAGGACGTTAAATGGAGGCCCCGTGTACAGGAGAGTCACCACCCTTGCAAAGAACCATTTCATTGCACTATTCGTAGCTATAAATTATAGATAGAGGTCTAGTAAGTAGTGAAATCTAGACCCTAGACAAGTGTAATGGTCCACATGCACACCCCAATCAGGCCTAGTACTAAAGTTAGTATATGGCAATGGTATAGATTCTAGGGCAGGCATCTTGAAGAATCTTCAGTATTGAAGGAGGCCGGAGTCAGCTATATTATTGTTACAATTAGGGAAATCAACTTTATTCTTTATTCTTTGTAATGACTGTGTTTATAAAAGCACGAAAATCATGAAAAATGACAATTTCATTTCATTTTAGATCTAGATCTAGAAATCATGATGGGAAAAAGTGTGGCGAGTTGTCCGAAAAGGCTGTGGCGAGTTGTCCAGGGTATTGTGGCGGGTTGTCCAGGGTATTGTGGCGGGATGTCCAGGGTATTGTGGCGGGTTGTCTTGGGGCGGGTTGTCTTTGTGGCGAGTTGTCTGGACCCCGTTTTATGACGTCGATACCGGTTAATTAATGGCTAGACCTTATGGCTATGCATTGAAATTATAGGAGTGTGAAGTGGAATTTGGTATGCTCAAGTTGGATGAATTTTGATTGTACAACACTTTTTCGTAGAAAAATTGCCAACACACACACACAAATAACGATAGATAGAATCACACACAGAAAAGTTTATATTTGGGACTAGTACTAGATCTAGTAGATAGGTCTCGTGAAATACAAAGGCAAATGGTTTTCAAACAATATTAGTCCTTATAATTAGACTCTATCGATTATTCCTCTGACTAAGATGAATATCTAGATCTATATATTTAAAACTTACGGTATACATTGTAGATATTTTTGGAGTGAAGACAAGGAACCACCAGCAGGGCAAGGCTAGCTGCGCCGACCAGCTGAAACTGTAGCTGATGCTAGCCGCAGGTATACGGTATGCGAGCTCTGGCGGGTCTCTAGCGGGGACGCCGGCGGTCGACGCCAGTCCTGGGCGTACTGCAGAGCGCTAGCCTTGCCGGATCGCGCTAGCTAGCCCTGCCAGCTAGGCCGGACCCATGGGGAGCGTTGGGGTTCATGCCCCCTTTTCCTTCCAAAAAAAGCCAAGAATTTTCAAAAAAATGTTCAGTTTACGCATTCAGAAATGCCTCAGAATGTACCATAAAGCATCTTATAGTTCATTTTTTTTCCGGGGCCCTTTGGCCCCGGACCCCACGCCGATTTAACACTTCATGCCCCTCCTTTAAAAAAAAACTCTTGGATCCGCCGCTACAGCGGGTCGAGCATGCAGGATGTATTTCGCATAAATATAGGCTGCACTCCCTGATAATACGCACGCGTATTCCGCACAAGCGCATTCCCAGCAACTTACTGTTACAGAATATAATCTAAAGGCGGCGATCTACAGAAGCTGAGTAGCGCGCGCGCGCTGGAAGATTAGTTTTATCGGTATCTTACTGGGTCATCACTATACTCTAGGAGACAATATAGTTCCGGTACCTTACTAGTGCAACTATATCACCTAGGTTATCAGATTTTATACAACACCTACGTGGATCCTTGTCATTTGATTGGAGGATTGTTGGTCACATGATATTCAATAGATGTTATATTGCAC